CAAAGATGTAGAAAATGATCTATTACTGATTCACACAGTGTAGGATTTGGAGGGGACAAACTGAGGCTTCTTTTAACACAGGGGAAGGTAACTAGGACTGCCCTGTCTTCTGCGGTCTGTAGTTACTTGAGGAATGCCTGCTGTAACCGCCCACTTCCTCCCACCTCACACTGGCACAGACCTATAAATAACAGCATGGCATTCTCCCAAACCACGCAAGTCTTTATTCCTTTGGAACCTTGAACTATTGGAGCAGTCAATCTCAAACATGACCCTGGACAGCTAGAGTACGTCTCTCTGAAGAGGTGAAGGTGATTCTCACAAGAATCAAGGCACAAATCTGGACATGACCTGACACACTTCGCAAAATGACTTATTGCAACTTATTTACAACTGAAACTGTCACACTGTACATAAAATGCATCGTCTCAATGCACCGTTACTTCCGACTTGCTTAAAAGCCAATGAGTTGAACACACTGAGGGGCAATGTATTAGAGTCTAAGCTGGCTTTTCCGAGCCTTCTTGACACAGAATTCTATTTCACTAGGAAGGTTTCTTATTTAGGAATTCAAGGATGTTGTAGAGAAGCAGAGTGTACAGAGATATTTTGGGTAGCATGGGCTCCAGGGGGGTTCGACCAATTAGCCCTGGTCCTCGAACCGGTTCTGTTCAAAATTCTTGGAACCATGGTGCTATCTAGTGAACCAGCCCACAATGTTTTCATCAACAGTGGGCATGTACATCATGCAAAGAGTTTTGGTAAGAAACATTAAAAAAAAAAGCTCTTTGACATATACTACTTTAAGTCCCATTTGCTAACATGGAGGGGGCAGGGATTATTAGCTATACTGCAGCCAGCCACAATTTTGTCTTCATTTCTGGGGAGCTGTCATGTCACCCATCTTAATATATAGTCAATGGTCCGATCTGAGTTCAAGATAGGTCAGGAGAAAGGTTGGCTGCCTTAACCCATTCAGACAGACCGCAGATGTGCCACATTGAAATGAAAATTTTTCCTGTATATATAAATTCACTAAGGTAAGGGAACTGCTCTGTCAGCATCGTGTCCAATAGGAGTGCCTCGGTACTGCAACACGATATTCATTTGTGAAGGAGGTCAGGCCATTATAGCTGCATATTTACAGTGGGGAAATCCAGCTCCTCACACATTGCAATTTTATCTTTAAAATAGTCTGCCTAGAGTAACATACTTTGAAAAATACTTCCGTAATTGAATAAAAATCCAATTTTGAGAAATTTGAGAAAATGCTGATTTAGATCTCTGAATCCACTGGCAATGGAACCTCTCCAAAGAACAAACTGTTACAAATATAGAGCCAGGTGGACTTGATCTACAGTAGCGGTCCATCTACCCTGTATTAGTTTGAACAAAATATTCTGAGCAGTTTCCCTTGGATTTGAAGCCAGAGCGCAGCACTGTTGCCGAGTTAAAGCTAAACTGCACCCAGGACCAGGTCTGGAGCTCCTTTTAATGCTTTTCCCCCTTGTTTTCAGTGACTGACCCCACAACTGACACTGCCAAAATAACTCACAAATCAGCATTTGATGGATTATGATGTGAAAGTACAGCACTCAAGTAATAAAGCCGCAGTTATTTAAGTGGCTTACATTGAAATAAAGTGCCAGAGACTGAGGAGAATCATTAGACTGACTAAACAAATGTGGTGACAGAGAACTCAAGATCGATTGTAATAAACAGTCCTGTCATCATTTTGACAGGCTGAATGATACAGTACATATATTTATGTTTTAGCAGCATGCTGGCCATTATTTTTCTGTCTGAGTTTGTGTCAACTGTGTTCAAACTAACCAAAATGGGAGCCTTTTGAGTTAGCAAAATCCTCAGATCAGGCTATTTCTTGAAACCCTCAACTCCACTGTCAAGATAAAGAAATTTGATTCTGTTCCAACATTCCTCTTTTATCCACACACACACACACACACACACACACACACACACACACACACACACACACACACACACACACACACACACACACACACACACACACACACACACACACACACACACACACACACACACACACACACACACACACACACACACACACACACACACACACGTCCATATGATGTCCTGAGTTTGACTCTGCGCAACTGCTCTGTAGACACCAGCTCTATGACAGCACCAAAACCCAAAGAGACAACTATAAAAGCATGTGCTTTTTGGACAGGTTGGCTTTCATGTCTTCTTATTGGAGGATCCAATTTTCAAAAGTCCATTTGAGTCAGAAAGCAAAAGGTAAAATTATGGAAATTACAGATTATGAGATATTAAGTAAAAAAGTCATCATTTTGACTTTGCTGCAGTAGGCACTTTTAAAAAGAATGTGTTGTCATATTTGCTGAAACGTATTATTGGCCGAATGAAAGAAGAATATTTTTTTTTTTTTTATAATAATTTAAGAATTTATGTTTTTTAAAATAAATTATATGGGAGTTAGATAAGCTAATAAAATAAAAAATACATTCCCACAAAGAAAACAGACAAGGGGGGGGAAAAGGGGGGGGAAATCCCGATTAAAAAAAAAAAAAAATACATACCCAAAATTTTTCTCAAAAAAAAAAAAAAAAAAACCCCGCTTCCGGAAAAAGGGGTGAACCCCCCCTAAAAAGACACCCCCCCTCCCCCCCATTTTTTTTAAAAAATATTAAAAAACAAAAAAAAAACATAAAAATAAATTCACAAAATTCACCCCATCCCACACCACCACAAAAAAAAAAAAAAAAAAATTAAATAATACAAAAAAAAAAAAAAAAAAAAAAATAAAAAAAAAATAAAAAAAAAAAAAAAAAAAAAAAAAAAAAAATTTTTTTTTAAATAAAAAAAAAAAAAAAAATAAAATACTTTTTTTTATTAATTATAAACCTTATTTCCACCCACCCTCCACCCCTTTCCATAACCTTCATAAACACCCTTTATAAAAAAAAAGAATAAATCTTAAAAAAAAAGAAATAAAAAAAAAAAAAAAAAATATAAGTAAAATTAAAAAAAAAATTAAAAAAAAATTTCACAAAGCTCCCTCAAACCCCCCCAAAAAAAAAAAAAAAAAAAAAAAAAAAAAAACCCAGGAGAAGGAAAAAAAAAAAAAGGGAAAATAATTTTATAAAAAATAAAAAAAAATTAAAAAAAAAAATAAAAAGAATTTGTAGAAAATAATATAAAAAAAAAATATTAAAAAATAAGGAAAAAATACATCAGCCCGCGGTTTTACGACATGTCGAAATCAATAGGCTGTATAATGTGGGGCGTCTAAGCTCTTGGACCCTACCTCATCGGAGTGGCTTTTTCTTTAAAATTTGTTTTGGCCTTTTGTGGTTTTGTTTGGGTTTTTGTGATACTGTCCTGGGTTTTCGGTTGTTAAATTGGTGTGTAAATGGTGCTGATGGCTTTTTTGGTGTGTGTTGAGGGGTGTGTGGCGTGCCTCGTTGGCCTTTGAAAATGTCCTGTGTGTTTTTTGTTTCGGGTTTTTTGATGTGCCCTCCTCGCTTCTTGGTCTTTTATTTGGCGTCCGTCCTGGTGCTGATGACGTTATATTTTGTGCTGTAGTTGGGGGTTATTTATTATTATAAATACTTTATACCCTGACAGTAGAACACGAGACTGATAATCTGTGAAAAAACTCAGGTTCCTCTGGCTCCTCCTAGTGCTCCTAATGGCATTTGCAAGAATCCACCGGGCCTGAACGAAAACAACCAAGACGCAAAGCGTATGGTTGTTTTGGTTGGTCCCAGTGGATTCTTGCAAATGCCAATATGAGCACTAGGAGGAGCCAGAGGATTAAAATGCATCAAAATGACTAAGCATTTGACATTAACTGGCTAGGGTGGTTAGATTGCTTACATCTATGCACCAACTTTCCTAGTGTGTAACCAAGGCAACGAAAGTAGCATGATAGTAAAGCAGTAGTAACTTTAACTACTTTTTGTTCACTTACTTACTTTAACTTTTCACTGTAGGGTTCATGGTTCCATTGGAACCTTTGCTACTATTAAATAAATTGTTAAATAGTTATTCTGTGCAATGAGCCATCTACTAGTCAGTATTTATGTATGTATGCAGTCAAACAAATAACTCTGAATGAACTTATATCATGGAAAGTATTTCCACAGGATTAAATGGTTTTCTTACAGCATTAAGCAATTATGTTGGTCCAACTCAATTTACTTAAGCTGAGTCAACTTAACTTAGTGAGGTTGAATCAACCTACTCACTAGGTTTGGGTCTAACTTTAATTTAATAGGGTTGGTCCAACTAATTTTACAGTTGTAACATTACACAACTAAAAACCTCAGTAAAAGAAAGTCATTTAATTACATAAAATACGTTCCATGATTTAATTTAGTAAGTTCAAACAATAACTTTTGAGTTTAACTTAAAACAAAAAAATAATAATTTCTCATTAGACCAATGTGTTGATTTCATTCATCTAAATTGTCTTTGAATCATGTCAAACATTCATAAAGCAATCATTCAATGAACTTAAACACAATAGATTCATTTATTACTAAGATAATTCTAATGTGCTGATCAAATACATGGCCCGATTGTTTTTTTGAGCGTGTATACGTCCATGACGCAAGATGCAATGGGGGGTCGGCTTTGGAGTTTTGCTGAAGTTTGGGCTTCAAGCCTCCAGAGTTTGGGAAACTCCGATCTAAACCAATCCGATAACTGGCTAATGTAAATGGAAATGGAAAAAACGGCCCCACATTGTATTCAATTGGGTGTGGGGGGGGTGGGCGGGGGGGGGGGGGCTTCTTAATGGGTGGGGTTTGGGTCCGTCCCCCCCCCCCTTGTTAGGAATAAAAAAACGGGGGAGGGGGGGAATGTAGGGAAAAAATACTCTACCATACAAAGCCAACAATGTCCAAAAGGCACATGTACTTGAGATCGTGTATGGGTTTCCACATTGGACTTTGCAGTGAGGGTGGATATAGTATCTAGAAACAGTCTGATTTACAAAAAGTTGTATTTAAGGGGGAGAGTGAACTGGTTTATTTCTGCTCACTGTCCCTAAGTCTGTGTGCTGGTTTACAAACATCTTGGCAAGGTAAGGCCATCATTGACCTGGGCTGATTTGTCCATCCTGGTTAGTGAGAGCATAAAGGTACAATAGGGCGATCCAAGATCAGAGGCAAGCACCACTTCAATCCCATATACTATCTTGAGCACCTGAAATATATTTCAAACCGTATCAAAGCTGCATTCACAAAACTACTTATTAATTCTGACCAAACAGAACTGGATTTGCTGTAAGTGCCGTAGCTTAGCTTAAAATACTGCTGAGGAGAGCTTAGCTGATAGCAGTGGCGAAATGTAAGCAACGGGGATAGCTCTCACCCTCAGGTGATAAGCAACAAATAATCCATCCCAATCTGACACACCTGATATATACACACTGTAGAAGCTCCCAGCCTCCGGCTCCACTGCATGAGCTCTGCAGCAGTTCTGATCAACTCTTTGAGGGACAGGGAAATACTCAGCAGCAGTGCAGCAAGTAGGAAGAAGGATGAAAAGTGATAATTGTACAACATCTTGATTACACGCAGGACAGCAGTGGTATGTGTATAGCAGGACATAGGAAGGAGCTGTGTCACTGAGCTGTGTTCTGACATCTAACTGTAAAATGTTTCCAAGAAAATGTATCGTTTCTACTGTTGATTTTTCTCTGCCAGTGTCTTGACTCATGACAGGGCAAGCCTAGGGATTTTCTCTCTTTTCCTTTGTACATTTCAACTGCTATTCTTATGTACTACTAAAAACACATTATTGTTCCAAGACTATTTAAATATATGTCTTAAAGATGCAGTAGGTAAGTAACGTTTATCATATTTACTGAAACTTTCACTATATCCTTACAGCAGTACATAGATAATCTGCGATAAAATCAGGTTCCTCTGGCTTCTCCTAGTGTGCCTAATGGCATGTGTAAGAATCAAGTGTGAACCTATCATGACGTCACCCATTGGTTTGTGGAGAACCGTTTTGAAGCCATGACAGTAAAACGGAGCCAGCACGAGCCAGCGGACGTGACGTACTGCGAGTTGATCGACGCTCATTGGCGGCTCGCCTGGTCACACATATTATATTATTACAGCTAAACAGTACACTAAAATAGTTTCAGTTTCTGAAAGATTTTAAGCGAGTATAATAGTATAATAGTCAACGCAGTAACAGAATCTAGCTTCATATTTGATCAGCACTGCCTAGTTTGACAGTTTGATCAGAGTTTTGTATGCTGCTCTGGACAGAATCGCTGAGAGTGACCTGCCAATCAAAAGGTGACTGAGATCCTAAACTCATCAGGAACCTGTTTACTGAGCCAATAAAGGAAGTGTCAAGTCGGCTCATTCTCCATTCAAGTGAATGGGATCACTGTGTTAGTGCAGCCAACCGTGCTGCCACCTGCTGGAATTTACATAGAATGCAGGTTTAAGACACTTGCGGGTCGACTTCACTTTTCAGACCCGGAAGCTCTGTCCATTATATATACTGTCAATGGTAAGAATACACCGGGCCTGAACGACACCACAAACAATCAGAGAGAATGGTGATTATCTGTCTCACGTTACTGTCAGGATATAGTCAGAGTTTAAGAAAATATGACAAAACGTTTTTTTTTTTTTTTTTTTTAAAGTTACCCATTTAAGCACAAATAGTTTGATTGGTTAAGGTAAGAAGATCATGGTAAGCCAATCAGAGTTTTTGTAAATTTGTGTCCTGGATGTGTCATTGCACTGGAGGCAGCAAAATGAAGCTGTAACTCCAGGTTGAAGCACTGGCTTTGTCTGGAGATTATTTTGTCACGCCACAATTCACAAGGTTAAGACACACCTTTTTCGGCCAAACAGTAAATGACTGGTGGTAGTATGTGGTTTGGTGGTAATCCGATCAAAAAGCATGTTTTCCTGAGGCTTTCTGACGTTCAGAGAAACCATACACCTTCAGCTCTGCTCTGCTGCCAGTACATAGATCCACTGCCTGTCCTGTGTGTTCAAGCCCTTGGACTGAAAGCCACTCAATGTCTTTAAGGCTTCACTGTATGATGAGTGTCTGTGTAGAAAAGGCTTTACTGTGACATATTGCATAAATCACCATCATCACCACTATGGTGTTAGAATTAACCATCAAATCTAAATCTTATTAGCATTCTTTGTTATCCACAGTTAGAACTGCACAATACTATTTAATTCCCTGCGTGTGTGAGAGACAGAAATCAGAGTGTAGACGACATAAGTGCAAGTCAACAAGTATGTGAGTGTGTGTGTGTCACACCAGCCCTCAGAGGGGAGTCTGTAGGTGTGTGTATTGCTGTGATGGTGTGGAGGAGGTGGAGGAGGGGGTGTTGGGGGTGGGGCTGTTAGCCAGACGTGAGGAAGGGGAGGAGTCGGACAGCTGCAGCTCCTCCAGCTTCTTCAAGTACTCGTCTCTGAGGGCCAACAGCTCCTTGTAGCGCTGCTCCACCGGACTCTGCTGCTAGAACACGAACACACACACACAGGAACACACACAGGAACACACACAGGAACACACACGCACACACAGGAACACACACACACACACACACACACACACACACACACACACACACACACACACACACACACACACACACACACACACACACTGTTATTTAGTGTTTAATTTTGTTGGGATATAACAGTTGGGGTATAATTTGTTATTTGTATTTATTTATATTTATATATGTATACTTTAAACTGTGTTAACAGTTCAATTTCAAGTTCAAATTTGCCTCAACAACAAAAATGTTCTTTAATTTTGTCGTCAAAGTATCAGTTCAGGCACCGTTTAGGCACCAGTGCGGTTTTAAAAGCATAATTTTAGCACTGGCATCAGACAAAAACAGTAACCAACCCTAATCGTTAGTTGCAGCCTTATACGAAAGCCAAATAAAGAGCAATGTTAAGAAATGAGAGAAAGAAACAAGAAGTGTGTGGCTGCTTGTGGTTTGGTTAAACACAAGTGTATTCAGGCATTGGTATTCACAATAAGCCAGGTAATAATGCTGGAGCCACCTTAAAGCCCTTATAATTGTATCTGATATTGTAGCAGTGCATATCCTGAAACTAATGTGCAATGAATCATATTACTTATTATTATTAGAGGCGGCTGTGGCTCAGAGGCAGAGCGGGTCGTCCCCTAATCGGAAGGTTGTTAGTTCGATCCCCGGCTCCTGGTGCCACATGGCGAAGTATCCTTGAGCAAAATACTGAACCCAAATTGCTGCCGTGCATCGGTGTATGAATGAGTTAGTTTCTGTTCAATGGACTTTGCCATCACTGAGTGAATGTGTGTGAAAGGGTGAAGGTGGCACGTAGTGTAAAAGTGCTTTGAGTGGTCGGAAGACTAGAAAGGCACTATAGAAGTACAGGTCCATTTACCATTTACCATTACTACAAAGCAACAGATGAATAATCACAATCACAATGAATAATGTGGCTTAGTAACGCAGCCCAGGTCACAGTATATTATAACAAACACACTGGCAGTCCTACCTGCTGTCGTATGCGTGGGTTCCAGCGGATGTAGTATGTTACCCAGAGCTCTAGGTGGCGCATGCTGGCGACCGGGTAGAGGACCCTGCCGGACTCCGGGGTGTAGAAGGGGTTTAAATAAATGTCCATCTTACTGTTGACCAGAGACCACAATGACACCGTCTTCGACCTCACGTCCTGCACAACAGAGAGGGTGTGAGATGTTTAAAGCTGAAATGCGCTGTGCAGTCAAAGCATGCTTGCATGCATGTTGTAGGACAACTTAGAGCAGGAGGTGGTTTATGTCAATTCTTACGTGCTGGTCTCGTGCGCTCTCACAGTTGTACAGGAAAGTCCCAAAGCGACAGCTATACAGATGATCCAGGATTGTCAGCAGGAGGCGCTCATTAAACTCAAAGGCTGTAGGAAACTGAGAGGAGAGACCGGTTACAGATCAGAGATGGCCTCAGTCACCTTACATCAGGAAACACCTTCCTGCTATGTGGACTGAGCACTGTAGTCCACATATGTGACTGGACTCACTTAGCTGCCACTTTTGTGATTTTATTAAGAGCAAACTAAATACTAGCGTAAACCATTCTAATTACAAGCCTCCAGCCACTAGATGTGTTTAAATCAGCATGTGTTTAAAGCAGGAACTGGTCTGTAAATCATTCTGCATTGATCATGAATGAATGAGTGATTCTATTGTCCACAGACGCTTTATGCTGTATGAAAAGCTTCTCCTTCAGTACATCAAATCCCTGCAGACATCTGAAGGCAGCAGCTCGCATATGTTAAGAAATGTGCAGCGTCTGATTGGAGAAGAGCTGACTCAGAGTTACAGGCGGCCATTTACTGTGTTAAATCCCATGCAAATGACACCACACACACACTTCTACGTCGGTATTATGCTGTCTATGCTGGTCTCATTAATCCTCTGTGTCACTGCCTCCTGTCACTGTCTGCGTTTTAGCAAAAGTGGCTTTGATGATGTGACCATTTACAACATGAGATACAGCAGAATTATGATCACATTGATGCGATGTCATCGAATCAGTTTTTTTTTTCTAGCTAGCATGTGACAAATGATGTAATAAATGCCAGCAAGGTTACATTCCCACATGAGTGCGGCTTGGTGATTCAACATACCTGTTTGGTCATCTGCCATACACAGTCGATGAACTGAACAAAGATGGGGGATCTGTCCTGATCTGCATGGTTCTTGTCACCGTGACCTATCCTCTACACGCACGCGCACACACGCGCACACACGCGCACACACACACACACACACACACACACGACACACACACACACACACACACACACACACACACACACACACACACACACACACACACACACACACACACACACACACACACACACACACACACACACACACACACACACACACACACACACACACACACACACACCAAATGGTTAACAAGAAGGTAAACTTGGTGGCCTTTATCTCCTTTTGCACAAAACTAGAGATGTCCTGATCATGTTCTTTTAGTCCCCGATCCAAGTCATTTAATTTTGATAATCTGCAGAGTCCGGATCCGGTAGGCTATTTGTATTTTTTGCAGATAATACAGTGCACATCACACACTTCAAGTATATTAAAGTTGGAAAAAAACAATCCTATGTTTTACAATTGAATAGCTCCACATTGCATTAATGCAGTATTTTTTTTAAATACATTTTTTACAAAAATAAAGTATATAATAACAAACCCTCTTATTTTTGTTCCTTGTTGCTTTCTGGAGGGAGTTTCTCTCTCCAGTGTTTGGTGCTTCGGTACAGCCTTTACCTGAGTTACCTCTACATCTTTTACAGATTATATGAATGAATTACTCTTATTGGTTTTTTGTTGTGCACTTCCAGTGGCGTGTTGAGTATGGTTGTGTCAGATCTCTATCGCTCTTTCCACTCTGCTCTCTCTCACACACAGAGCAGAGTGGAGGAAAGAATGAAAGCTTTGTGAGTAAAAACAGCTGTCATAAAACCAAAGATCAGATCAATATAGCTCAATATAGCTGATACGGATCTGTTAAAAAATGCCTTGATCTGCGCCGATACGGATCGTTGAGATCAGATTGGGACATCCCTACACAAAACTCTTTCTCAGCAAAGATGGAAGAAATACTATCAAATTTAAACCAGTATGAATATAACTTAAACTATTAAATGACATATCAATTATGACTCATTCCTTTCATACTTTGGTGCTCATGGCTTCACATGTTTGATAAGAGTCCCACCCTGAACACGTCTATGTGATAATATTCAGTAAAAGTGAGAGCGCCACCTAGTGGTGAAAGTGGTTTCATGTTCTTCTCCTAGCAGGATTATCAGATCCAGCTGTAATTTACTTATGAAATGCAAAACACATTGTTGATGATATGTGTTGACTGTGGTGAGGGGGCGGGTCTGTGGCGTGGCAGGAAATTTTTATGTATCGCCACGAAACACGAATTCGCTATAACTTGAGTGTACATTGTCCAATCGGCTCCAAACTTCACATGTCTGATAAGAGTCCCGCCCTGAACACACAGTGATAGTGCCACCTAGTGGCAACAGGAAGTAAGTGCTGCATGGCGATTTTGAGCTGATTTACGTGAGATTTTCATGTCGTGGTCTGCACGTGTTACGACGGCACGTTACGCGGCCGCAGCATGCCCTGCGTGGAGTGCGAGGTCCCGTCCATCGCTGCTTGCAGCTTTAATTATATTTATTTTTATCTAGGCGAGACCTGCCTTTATTTGTCAAAACATGTAGCCACCCCAAAGCTAGAGACAGGAGTTATGAAGATGTCACTTACTGAGGCAAACTTGTGCCCAAAACTGATCCATTCCTTCTCAATCAGCACCTGAAAAAACAAAACAGTAAGTTCATTACATCTGGCTTGTATTATTGTATTGTAATTGTTATTGTATTATTAATGCCATTTTCTGTCCATCAAAAAGCCAGACTATTAAAAATATGAGATTCTATTACCTTGAGGTACAGTAAAACCAATTAAACCATTCAATTAAAGCTTTATTGTGTTGCTCACAACCATTTCATTTTCTTTGGTGCAGATGTGCAGTCATAATCTTGTTTGCAGTTACTGACCTGGAATCCTCTGAGAGTACGGTAGTGACTGTCCAGCATCAGCATGGCCAGAGAGGTGAGCTGAGCAGTTCTGTCCCAGCCGTCACTGCAGTGAACCACCACTGAATTTCCACTGGAAACCTTGTCTGCCACTTGGATTGCCCCTGACAACACCAGCTACACACACACAGACACACAGACACACACACACACACACAGACACACACACACACACACAGACACACACACACACACACACACACACACACACACACACACACACACACACACACACACACACACACACACACCAAGTTGAACCAGAAAACCAGGAATGAAAGCCCATGAGGGCACAATACTTCCAAATTAAAATGATTATCTACACCTAGATGAAGGACAATTAAGTAATTTTTCTTACCTTGACATGTTCTAGCCAGTGTGTAGACTCTAGACTGGACAGCCAATGAGATTCCTCCACGTTGGGATAGACGATGTCTTTGAGTTTCTTCAAGGATTCCCTCATGACATGGATATTCTGGATGTCGAGGAAGATGAGCTCTGCGTTCTGGTACTCATCACCCTCGTAGCCTCCTCCTGTGGCCTAGGGAAAAGCAAAGACCTTTCGATAAATATAAGGCAAAATGTAAACAGTAACAGTAAGTGTACACTCATTAATTCAACACATGGAGGCGTAAGAGGAACTATAGGGCCACCAAAAGCACCAGGATTCATTGTCTAGAGAACCGTGAACATTCACAACAAATTCATCAAAACTGCGGTTTTTGAGATACTTGTCATGATCAAAAATGGTCCAGGGAGTGTTTGGGTCTGATGGTGGTGTTAAACCAGTAAAATCATTGGGACTCCTCTGGAAACAAAACTGTGTAAAGTAAGTGTTTGACAGACCAACTGGCCAACAGGCATTGGGGCAAGAAATTAAGAGCATGCACCACATGATCCAACATTATCACAAATCCTGAGACAGTTAGTTGATAATCATTGACAGAAAAGTACTCAACAGTTTTCATAATTGTTGATACCAAAGGTGTCTACTTGAGTCATATGACTCAGACTTGAGTAAGACTCAAGTCACAAATTTGATGACTCGAGACTCGACAATATCAAAAAACTGTTTAGTGTTTGTTTACAAAAAAAACTGCGGGTAACTGGATGAACCATGTGTCTATCACTGTCTACCATCGCTTCACAACTTCAACCATCAGATCAATGAACCATATAACGCAGTCAAACTGAAGCCAGTGAGGACAAGACAGAAAAAGCAGTGCCCACTTTGCTCTTCTTTTAATGAAGAAATACTCTCCAGTTCTGATCTAACTGATGCTAGCAGCATCTAATATATCTAGTGCCCACCCCCATAGCTGCCAGTACTTCCACAAAGGGCACTGATTGGTCTGCTACCAGTTTGGACACAAATGCATAGATTGAAGTCTGGCAAGATGAATTCTCGTGTGAGTCCAGCTGCGAGTCCAGCAAGTCCAGCTGCCTCGCAAGGTTACCCAATACCTTCGTCCAAGCCCAAAGATGAAAAAGTATATTATCAAGTGACAGGACAGAACCATGAAGAACTAATGTTAAGTCAGCGATGGCCTTTGCCACCACTGTTTGAATGAATGTGTGTGAATGGGTGAATGTGGCATGTAGTGTAAAAGCGCTCTGAATGGTTGGAAGACAAGTACAGTCCATTTACCACATGTTGTTAAAATGGCATTTAAAATTAGACACACATTATGACTTGAAACTCAAAGGTTTAGGTCTCTGTACTTGTCATTCTTGACTTGCGCAGACTTGATATTTACTTGTGACTAGCAAAACCATGACTTGGTCCCAACTCTGGTTGATAGTGAAACTTTACTGATCTATTGAATACACTCAGCTCCTTGAATTCCTTTACAGGGGAAACTATCCCATACTGTGTCATAACATCTATACTATATCAGAACTACTGAATACCATATCAGAACTATCAAATTCAATATTAGAAATATCAACAACAAAAGTAACTGATGTGACTGCTGAATGTTAACTCTTGTTACTTTCCATTCTCCTCTCATTACAATTAACTACTATTTCAGACAGACTGATGCGGATGAGATCCTGCTGGACACACTCCTGTCTGACAAACCAACCCTTCTGACCCCTGAGAGTACTTCCTTTCCCCTCTGACCTTGTTGGCCACAGCGTTGACGTTGGGCCGAGCATCATAGATGGTGAGCTTGGTGGTGTCATTGGCCTCCCTGATCATGTCCAGGTAGCGCTCGTCGTCCTTGTTTCTTTTACCAGACATGCCGACCAGAGGCTGACTGCAGCGCACGATCACTGCCTGGTTCTCCCTGTGGATCCATGATAGAACCTAACGCACAAAGATAGATGAAATATTTACAGTCAGTAGGGTATGACATGAAGTGACTCTCAGGTAGCTTCTAATGAAAACAGGTTAAATGTAAGACTTTTAAATACATTTTAAGACCATTATGAATGCAATTTAATACTAGACTATTTTAAGTCCATAGTAGCAAAAAAAAGTATATAAAGGAAAACACTGAAGAGAGAAACTCCCTTCAGACAGTAACAAGGCAAAAAAACAAGATTTAGGTTTGTTATTATATACTTTATTTTTGTAAAAAAATAAAAAAATAAATAGTGCATTAATGCAATGTGGCAGCAGTTGCTGTCACCCCAGAAGTAGCAGAAGAGAGGAGCCATGCTGGCCCAGTTTGGACTGCTTCAGGCTAATGTCTAGTTTTGGACAAAATGGGACTCAGGCTGGGCAAACAACAGAGACATATACTGTTGTGCCCACATCTTTACAGAGACTTGCTCTATCAACAACTTTGATCAAGCACTCTAACCAAAGCTGGAGCACAGGACAGGAGGAGGTGGACTCTGCGTTTACATCAATGATGCTTGGTGCTCAAACGCAGTCAGAGTGGATGGACACATTTTTATGTAAAAAAGGAAACCATATAATCATCACTGTTTACATTCCCCTAGACATAAATTTAAAAAATGCACTGCAGAATTATTTTCTGGGTGTATACATGTATGTATATATGGATATGAATAACTGTATATATTAGTTTATTTTATTATATGATATTCTTCTATAAATGTAATTATCTTTCTCTATTTGTATAGCCTGAAGGGAGTGCAAACTTTCATTTTGTTGTACAACCTTGTGTTATATGTATAAATACATTTTCCAAAGAACAGACTCAACAATAAATTGATCGTACTCACAAGTATTTTCCATGCATCCAAAGCCTCATATTTTACTTCTCCATGCCATAAAACTTAATGTAAATGTTAGTAAGAGGATCTTGAGAGATTTGTTTGAATCAAACTATGCTATAATATGGTTCAGTATTATATGGACTCACCGGTATGCGTGCTCTTGACCTGAAGGCAGCCACTCTTCTAAGGTCCTCCTCTTTACTTTTAAAGGGCACAGCCAATACAGTAGGGTAGGTGTCACACAGTTCGTAGTTCTTATTGATGAATGTAATACGCCACTTGTTATTAGGTAAGCCCTACAAAAGACAAGGATCATCATCAGTTCCTTAATGAAACACTGTCATGCTCTTTTTGTAGGATTATTCAAATTCTACTTTGAATTCAGACTTAGTTCTACTAAAGGCTATAAAGGTTTGGCTCGTCATAACATTTCTGACCCGTTAACACTCCACTGGGAACTTGTCTACGCTACAAAAGTATACTGAACAAAATTATAAACGCAACACTTTTGTTTTTGCCCCCATTCATCATGAGCTGAACTCAAAGATCTAAGACTTTCTCTATGTACACAAAAGGCCTATTTCTTTCAAATAGTGTTCACAAATCTGTCAAAATCTGTGTTAGTGAGCACTTCTCCTTTGCCGAGATAATCCATCCACCTCACAGGTGTGGCATATCAAGATGCTGATCAGACAGCATGGGTATTGCACAGGTGTGTGCCTTAGGCTGGCCACAATAAAAGGACACGCGAAAATGTGCAGTTTCACTGTATTGTGGGGGTCGGGGGGGTCCGGAAATCAGTCAGTATCTGTTGTGACCACCATTTGCCACACGCAGTGCAACACATTTCCTTCCCATAGAGTTGATCAGGTTGTTTATTGTGGCCTGGTGAATGTTGGTCCACTCCTCTAGCTGTGCGAAGTTGCTGGATATTGGCAGGACCTGGAACACGCTGTCATATACGCCGATCCAGAGCATCCCAAACATGCTCAATGGGTGTCATGTCCGGTGAGTATGCTGGCCATGCAAGAACTGGGATGTTTTCAGCTTCCAGGAATTGATCCAGATCCTTGCAACATGGGGCCGTGCATTATCCTGCTGCAACATGAGATGATGGTCGTGGATGAATGGCACAACAATGGGCCTCAGGATCTCGTCACGGTTTCTCTGTGCATTCAAAATGCCATCAATAAAATGCACCTGTGTTCGTTGTCCATAACACACACCTGCCCATACCATAACCCCACCGCCACCATGGGCCACTCGATCCACAGCGTTGACATCAGCAAACCGCCCCCCCACACAAAGCCATACACGCTGTCTGCCATCTGCCCTGTGCAGTGAAAACAGGGATTCATCCGTGAAGAGAACACCTCTTCAAAGTGCGAGACGCCATCGAATGTGAGCATTTTCCCACTCAAGTCTGGTACGACGGCGAACTGCAGTCAGGTCGAGACCCCGATGAGGACGACAAGCATGCAGATGAGCTTCCCTGGGACGGTTCTTTACAGTTTGTGCAGAAATTCTTTGGTTATGCAAACCGATTGTTGCAGCAGCTGTCCAGGTGGTTGGTCTCAGACAGTCTTGGAGGTGAAGATGGAGGTCCTGGGCTGGTGTGGTTACACGTGGTCTGCGGTTGTGAGGCCGGTTGGATGTACTGCCAAATTCTCTGAAACGCCTTTGGAGATGGCTTATGGTAGAGAAATGAACATTCAATTCCCGGACAACAGCTCTGGTGGACATTCCTGCAGTCAGCATGCCAATTGCACGCTCCCTCAAAACTTGCGACATCTGTGGCATTGTGCTGTGTGATGAAACTGCACATTTTCGAGTGGCCTTTTATTGTGGCCATCCTAAGGCACACCTGTGGATGGATTATCTCGGCAAAGGAGAAGTGCTCACTAACACAGATTTTGACAGATTTGTGAACAATATTTGAGAGAAATGGGCCTTTTGTGTACATAGAGAAAGTCTTAGATCTTTGAGTTCAGCTCATGATGAATGGGGGCAAAAACAAAAGTGCTGCGTTTATAATTTTGTTCAGTGTATATAGAGTAGCAGCACTGAGAGTATTGAAAGTATTGGTAAGAAATAGCAGTACTGTAGTATTCCACCTTACCTGCCGTCTGAACTCCTCCATGGGTTTGTAGACGTTCCAGCCATTCTCCTCATACTTCTCCTGAGTCAGATAGGCAAACAGAGGCTGGATGGAGGGGAGAGAAGCAGACTTTTAACAGACAACAATGGTGCACACACACACACACACACACACACACACACACACACACACACGCACACGCACACGCACACGCACACACACACACACACACACACACACACACACACACACACACACACACACACACACACACACACACACACACACAACACACACCAGGCCAGTGTGATCAACTAGCTCGCTGGTTAGATGTTAGAGGTTCTTTCTTAAGGAAGAACAGTTCAGTACACTGACACACACAGTTGTTCACCTTTCATACTGATTATTTAGCCAAGAGTTTCAGAACAACGGATGTCTGAAATAACTATGTGCAACACGTGCGCTTTAACCGTTCTTTAAAGATAAACCTGCATTATAATACTGCTTGCTTGGTTGTGGTCCAATATCGCCCTGAGGAAGAATGAATGGTAGGGTTTTGTGTTTCTAAATAGCCCTGGTAAGGCTTGCTGCGGCACACATTTTAGCATGCACAGATACTAGCCGAGCAGATGTAGCTGTGGTGTGGGCGGGTAGCTGTGTGTCACAGCATATGAGGGGGCTGCTTCTCTGCATTTCAGCATTTGCATGAATACTGGTCACTGAAACGAATGGAGGATGACTCTAAGCAGAAAAATGTCTTTTCTCAGCCAGTTGGGGGTGGATTTAAATTGTTTGCTGCTATAAACGCAACTCAGAATTTTTCAGTCGAATCGGATTTGGCTGATCAATTAGAACATTCGACTATTTGTTCCTTTTTTTCAGTTCAGCGTCAAACTAAACTCTTATGAGCAATTCGCAAGTGTGAGTCCTACTCATAGTACAGTTATAAAATCCCACACCACTGAGCATTTCTCCTGCCGGGCTGCTGAAGAGATTCGACTCAGGTTCTTCCACAAAAGGATTGTGTGTCTTTTGCAACCGTTAAACCAAAAAATTATACAAAAAGAAACCATGTACCGTAATTTCCGGACTATTGAGCACACCTGAATATAAACCGCACCAACTAAATTTGAAAAGAAAAAAAAAGATATTTACACAGAAACATGGTACACAGAAAGATTTTTAAAATTTTTAATTAAATAAATGCTGCCGTCTCCGACGTCTCAACATCGGTTCATTGATGCCAAGCTTATGTGCAGCAGCTCTTCTTCAACAGCCAGATCGATTGCCTTTAACTTAAAAGCTGCATCATGTGCATTTCTTCTTGTGTTTTCCATGATGAGGGTGTGTACATGATGCACAAAATGACTGATAGATTAGCCGCATCATTTTTTAAGCCGCAGGGTTCAAAGCGTGTGGAAAAAGTAGCAGCTTATAGTCCGGAAATTACGGTATTTGTCAAAGCACCCACAAATGTACCTCTAACTGCCAACCACACAGCGTTTCGGTGCTCCGTTGCTTTTAGCACAGAATGAGATGAGGTAATATACATACATTTGGTGCAAGATTTGCTGTTTTCTATGCAAACCCCAGCATTGATAGCCACCCAGTTAGAGAGTTCCGAAAAAAAATAAGGCACATTTATACAGGTTGTCACCTGTATTAACCCATCACTCAGTAGAGGTTAGAAGCTGACTTACCAGACCATGTGAGAGGGGGAAGGCGTGTTTGAAAAGGAGATCGAAGATATCTCTTCTACTGTGACCCTCCTGCTTCAAGGCAAACCTCAAGTTCCTCATGTCCTGGGGAGGAGAGAAAAATCAACAACTTTACAACACCAACACCAACACCAACACACACACACACACACACACACACACACACACACACACACACACACACACACACACACACACACACACACACACACGGCAAAGTCCATCGAACAGAAACTAACATTCATACACATTCACACACCGATGCATGGCATCGGGAGCAATTTGGGGTTCAGTATCTTGCTCAAGGATACTTCGACATGTGGCACCAGGAGCCGGGGATCGCACCCACAACCTTCGGATTAAGGAACGACTCGCTCTGCCTCTGAGCCACGGCCGCCCATATATAAGATAATACTGACTGGCATGATTTTTGGATGACTGTATAATCTGATGAAAAATCACTGTTATAGGAGTGCAACGCTAAATCTGTGGAACACTCCTTAAGCTCGCTGTGGGACTCGCATTAAAAAAAGGTCTAAACATATTTTGTTGTTCTCCTTTAAAACACAATGCATTGTACTGCATTATGGTATATAACTCATAAACTGTAATCTTAATGAGTTTATATACATTTAATCTGCAGTGCAGAATAGACAGCATTTTGAATACACACACACACAATGGGTTTGGTGAGTTAACATACCGACTAAATGTAAACAGAACTTTTGTTTCTTAGCAAGAAAACGCCAATGACCTTTTTGTGAGGTAGCACAAGCAGAAATATTCAGTTGGCAGACAATCACACACACACAATCACACACAATCTCACACAATCTCTCACACACAATCTCACACAATCTCTCACACACACACAATCTCACACACACACAATCTCACACACACACACACACACACACACACACACACACACACACACACACACACACACACACACACACACACACACACACACACACACACACACACACACACACACACACACACACACACACACACACACACACACACACCTTGCAGGTGATATCCAAGCCGTAGGAGTTTTCTCCTCTGCTCGATGCCCCACCCATCTTCTCCACCCGACTGATGGTGCCCAGAGGAACATCTAGCATCACAGCCACGTCCTACAGCAAACACAGTTGTAGTATGACACACACACAAGCACTTAGGCCAACTGCTACATCAATTAATAAAGGGCTCTCTGTATCAGTAAAATTTTCACAAGAGATGTTTTTTGTGTATAAGGAGGAGAGGAGACAATAAAAAAAGATTGGAACAATTTCAGAACAACCTGGAGACCTAGACAATAGATACCCTTGTACCCCCGAGGACAGACTGAGTGGGTGGGAGTAACTGTCAATTCATCTTTTATTTTAAATGCTGAACAGAAATGTATCATGAATCATAAACAATCAATAAGGAGTACCACAAGATTCATATATGGGTCCCTTTGGATGTTATAATGCTAATTTCATTAATATGCAGTAGGCTTGTGCCAATTGTTTTTTTCCCAGCCCTTATTAAATGACTAAATTGTTAGAGAAAATATAACTTTGTTCCCTGCTGTGCATTTACAGGAGATGCTTCTTGTGGAATAGCATGTCTGTGCGTTGTGGTGGTGATCACAATTAATCATCATAAGAGACCCTGATGCTTAATTTAATTTTTTGTCATAACTTCAGCATACATGATCCAATCTCAGCAAAACTTCACAAATTTGATAACAGTCCCGAACACGTCTATGTGATAATATTCAGATATAGTGATAGCGCCACCTACTGGCAACAGGAAATATTATGTTTTATACTTTTATGTTCTACTCGTAGCAGGTTGATCAGATCCAGCTGAAATTTGGTCAGAAAATGCAAAACATGATATGTTGATGATATGTGATGAATGTGGTGAGTTGTCGTCCGCGATGTGCCGTCAAACAGGAACGCACATGAATTTGCTATAACTTGAGTGTACATCGTCCAATCAGCACCGAACGTCACTTGTCTGATAAGACTCCTGCCCTGAACACATCTATGTGATAATATTCAGTAAAAGTAATAGTACCACCTAGTGGTGAAAGGAAATTTCATTCTTATACTTTTATGTATTTCTCCCAGCAGATTGACCAGATCCAGAAATTCTGAAATTCTGCCAGAAGTCTCTTGAGATGATGACGATGACATCTTATGAATCTTCAGAATTTTCGTTGAACCATGTTGCCATAGCGACGCGGCAAAAGCAGCTTTCGTGTTAACATTTGAAAAATATTTGGGGGGCTAAACTTCTATTTTAACAAACGCCTCCTAGTGAATTGATCAGAACAACTTCAAGGATGTTATGTTATTAAAATCTGTACATTCGGTTAAACGGTGTGTCCGTGTCATGCCTTCAAAAATCAGCCTTCACATGACAATGGAAACCCTAACCCAACTGCTAAACCTAACTGCAGTACAGATTCTCCATTTGGGCCCAAACTTCACAAGATTAAGAGCCCTGGCCTTAACACGTCTGAGTGCCAATTTTCATGTCGCGGTCTGCACATTTTACACTTGCACGTGATGCGGCCGCAGCACACCCCGAGTTGCGTGGAGTGCGAGGGCACGATCATCACTGCAGTTTTAAATTATTATTATTATTATTATTATTATTATTATTATTATTATTACTACAGTTACATTATTACTATTATCATTGCTCAGTCCCCTATCAATGTGGCTGTTGTCGTCGCCGTCATCTTCTTCATGTTAATCATTATCATCATCAGTCACTATTATTAGTGTTGTTGTTGCTACTGCTGTTGCTGTGCACCTTTGTCTCTGTCCTTACATCTGTCGCTGTCCTTCTGTCTTTACATCTGTCTCGCTCTCAAATTCAAATTCAAAATGGGCTTTATTGGCATGAAAGTGTTTTTAAAAAAAAACAATATTGCCAAAGCAAGGCATCAAAATACAATATAATAAGTCAAAATATTCAGACAATAAACAATATGAAAGATATATACATTATGAACATCATATTAGTTATATACTGTGTGTGTGTGTGTGTGCGTGCCTCGATCACTCACTGTCCCTCAGGTTGTTTTAGTTGTTTCTTCCCAATGGTCCAGATAGCTTTCTTTACATTGTGCTATAATTTGTTTTACTCTGATTACTGTTTGTAGAGCAGTGTTGTTGTGAGGCTGGTCAGAGTGTGTCTGAGAGGGGGCAGTTAGCCTCAGTACCAACTGATATAGGGCACTCTTTTCTGGGCTTAGCTCTTGGGTTTGGAGGGCTTTGGAGTGGAGGGTGTCTCTGGGGCTGGATTTCAGGTGGTTAAAAAAGTTGAGCGTTCTCTTCTGAATGTTAATTATCAGTGGGTATCTGCCTAATTCTGCTCTACATGCATTTGTTGATGTGTTTCTGTGTACGTGTAAAATGTATCTGCAGAATTCTGCATGTAGAGATTTTGATGGATGTTTGTCCCAACGGGTAAAGCTCTGATGACTGAGTGGACCCCATACTTCACTACTGTACAGCGCAATGGGCTGGATGACACTATCAAATATTTTAAGCCTGATTTTTATTGGAATACGGAAATTATAAAATTTTCTCTTAATTGCATATAGAGCTCTTCAAGCTTTTTCTTTTAGTGCATTCACTGCCATGTTGAAACTCCCTGATGCTGTTATGGTTATACCAAGGTAGGTATAACTCATGCTGTGTTCAATGACATGATTATTGATGGTAAATTGGTGTTTGTTCTCATGACACCTGGGGCGTTTTTGAAAGATCATGACATTGGTTTTCTTCATGTTTACTGCCAGGGCCCAGTTCTGACAGTACTTTTCTACTACGTCCAGCTGTAGCTGTAGTCCTTGTTCAGTAGGAGACAGTAGAACAAGGTCATCAGCATAAAACAGAGACTTCACCTCTCTATCTAGGAGGGAGAGGCCCGGAGCAGCACATTTATCCAACTCAACAGCCAGTTCATTTATATACACATTAAATAAAGTCGGACTTAGATTGCAACCCTGCCGAACGCCTCTTCTCTGGGGGAAGAAATCAGTTAGTTTGTCTCCAATTTTAACAGCACACATGTTTTCCAAATACATTGATTTAACCAGATCATACATTTTGCCACCTATACCACATTTTAAAAGTCTGTAATAGAGCCCTTCATGCCAAATAGAGTCGAAAGCTTTCTTGAAATCAATAAAGCAGGTGAATATTTTTCCATTCTTAGTTTGCTGTACATGTTTGTTGATTTATATACCCGATATGGTCGGTGGTGCGGTGTTTTGGGAGGAAGCCAATCTGACTTTTACTTAAGATTGACTGTTCCTCAAGGAAATCTAGCATTAGTGTTGCACGGTGCACCGATACTTCAAAAGTATTGCGATTCTCGGAAATTAAAAATGTCACGATTCCTAAATTTATTAGTATCGATACTTTTAAGAATGACCGCGTTCCAGATTTGTAAGAGACATATTTCATGTTGGTGTGTGCGAAGCATGCTTCCAGTGTTCTTTCTTTCACGTACGCAGCAAAGAAGCTGCAGCTGTCATGTGACAAACACTATAATGAGATGGCTGCATGTGCGAGCACAAGTGATACTGTGGCCGCCGGTCCACGACTGGTAGAAAAAGATGACGCGAGGAGTGTAATATGGAAGTACTACCTTGCTGACAGTGAGGGCAAAGCTACCGATAAGTCGAGACCTGTTTGTCGTCAGTGCTACAAACAAATGCAAACAAAGGGAGCCAACACCTCCAACCTGGAGAAACACTTGGCCGACAAGCACGCCGAGTAGTAGGAGGAGTCTAAAGACCGACAGGTTAGTATGTGAAAGAGAACACGACCACGTTCATGCCCTTAAATAAGTCAAATGAGAAGGTTATGGTTTATTTTGTGAGAAGTCACTATTTTGCACCACCGTAGTTTGACGAGGCTATCTAGAGAAATAGTAGGCTAACTATGGGCATTATCCTCATGGCTAACCAATAGCCTGCCTACGGCTAATTCAACATCTCTGAAAACGCAACTTTCACAGATAACGTTAATAATTTGCATCTGCAAAAATAAAGCATACAAACATCAGCTAAAATGATCTATAGGCTATATGATTATAATCAGAGTATGTGCATGTTTGTCAGTGATTTACGTATATTGGGTTATTACAGCATTTAAAGAGCACAGATCTACGCAAAGGAGGTGTATTTGTGAAACGCCTTGTAAGAAATGATGGACTCAAATATAAAGTTAACCATCAAAGAAATCAGACGTTGACGTACAGGAAACATTAGCCTATATTAATCCATATATCACAGCTTAAATAACATTAGGTTAACTCATTATCCTCCTATTATTAATTATGGTAATGTTATGGTTAAGTAAATGTTAGCAGTTATCACTATAACCACTGCATATAGAGATGCTAAGTTAGTCACAAGTTATTGTTACTATCACACAAACTATTTAGGTCCTCTGTTATGACAAATTTATCACCATCATATTTTAAATATTTCCATTTTCTTCTGCTACAGAAGTCTGGAGCCACGGGCTCAATGGCTGAGTTTTCTCCTCTGAAAGGAAAGGTTGCACAACTGACAGAATAAGTTACAATATCTGAGATATTGCTGCTAAAATTTATTTGCTTTTTTTCAAAGTTTAGAATCAAGATAAAGTTATGTTTTCTCTTATGTTTCTTATGATAACTGAGATAATGCTGCTAAATTTATTATTTTTTTACCTTGAATGTTGAATGTTCATTGCTCTAATTTATTTTTTATATTTTGATATTTCATATTTTGTTCAAATGTTTAATATATCTGCTGTTCATATGTTCATTCATTGGTGTGCTATATGATTAAAATCTTGTCCCGGTTTTAAAATAAAGCACAGCAATGATATTTGAGAGTGTCCCTTTTCAGGAAGGAAGTATCGAAAAAGTATCGAAATCGCAATTCTTGACTTGGTATCGGTATCGAAACAATAATTTTGGTATCGTGACAACACTATCTAGCATTCATGTATTAAGAATACTACAGAATAGTTTACCTAGACAGCTGCTGACACAGATGCTATGGTAGTTATTAGGGTCTGATTTGTCCCCACTCTTATAAATGGGGGAAATGAGCCCTTTGCACAAGATGTTGGGAAAACATCCTGCCTGTAGTATAACATTAAACAAATGTAACATTGCACCCTGCATTTCTGGGGTGCTGCTTTTGAGCATTTCGTTTCTAATGCTGTCTGGACCACAAGCTTTCCTTGGCTTCAGACATTTTGTCTATTTATTCCCAAGTAATTTCGAAATCAAGGAGGTTTTGGTTGTCTTTAATTGTTTCTTCTAATTTTTTTTAATTTTTGTTTTGTTTTTCTTATATAATACACTGATCTGAATTGATTTGATTGATTGGTATGTCTTTGTACAGATTTTCAAAATGTGATCTCCAGATGTCACCGTTTTGGATGGGTAATGTCTGCTGTTGCTTTGTGTTGAACTTGTTCCACATATCGCAGAATTGATTTTGGTTAATGGCATTCTCAATATCTTCAAGTTTCAATTGGGTATAATTTTGTTTTTTGATCCTAATTGTGTATTTATATGTATTTAAAATTTCACTGTATCGAATGCGCAGGGCTGGGTTGTACGGTTGGCGATGTTTCTCATTTGCTATTTTTCTCAGCTCTTTTCTGATTGTTTTGCATTTTTGATCAAACCATTTGTCAGTATTTTGCCTTTTAACAGGTCTCCGTCTTTGCTTTATGAGGTCAGCCCTAATAGCCGCCTTATGAAATATCATTTTGATATCCTCAATGGCCTTGTTTACCCCATCTCTGGTAGGGACATATTTATTTTGATTATATATTGATATGTAATTCATCAGATCAGGGGAGTTCAAAACCTTGATGAATTTGTCTCCACTGTCTGGGGCCCATGAGAAGGATTTAAATTTTTACAGCTTACTGGGTTCCCTTTTTGTGTCACTAATTTGACCTGATAATTTAAAGATCCCATTAATTTGGTTGTGGTCTGACAGGGGGGATTGCTGTCTGACAGTGAATGCACTGATAGTTGAGGGGTCCATGTCAGTGATTGCATAATCTACAACACTAGACCCAAGAGCTGAGGAGTATGTGAACCTCCCTAAAGAGTCCCCTCTGCACCTACCATTAACTATGTACAGGCCTGACAGAGATGCACTCTCCCTGCCACTTTGATTTAATATTGAGTCAAGGTTATTCTATAATCCCAAGTGGATTCATAAAGGTTTATTAGCAAGATAACAATATCTTTAGGTAGTGTGAATGGTAACTGTGTCTCCGGAGGTAAAGCGGGTCAGAAGGCTGGCTTTGGTTTGATGCCCGGCTCCTTCCCAGCATCCTAAAGAGTCCTTGAGCAAGATAGTGAACCCCAAATTGGGCGTCTCGTCCCCTGTGACCCTTTCCACCTCCTATACTATCCCCACATGAGTTTAATGGGACTTACAGAGTCTGAGCTCTTGAAGTAGAGTCTGTAGTTGGTGATCAACACTTTGCCTTTCACAGCTCCACTGAATGGACAGATGTAGATGATGTCTTTATCTGAAAACAGACAAATACAGACATTGTTTATTGACTTGACTTCTGCGACATCTTCTCTCATGTCTGATCTTACACCAGCCTCATTGGCTCAGAATAGCTTCCCCTTTTCACATTAGTACTCTGGGACAGACGTCATCGTGATGTTGGTAAGCAGTGAGTTCTGTAATGGAAGAAATCACCACACATTCAGAGAAGAGGAAGCAGAAAAGGAGAAGAGGGCCATGCAGCAAAGGTAGGCTAAAAATACCATCTACTCAGAGCGTTCAATAAGAGACTAACAAGGACAGAACCACTCAACAGTAACTGTCATCTAAATCAAATGTCAGCTGATTACAGGTGGAATCACTGTTGGGGTATCTCTCAGAATCAGAGAATATTGACAAATGGTCGACATTATTGGCTCCAATATTCACCAGATTTATCCAACTATCAGTCTTGTAATCGGGATTCTTGAAATTGTAGTTTTCACACTACGTGACTGATCAGCAACAGGGGTCACACACTACAAGAGTTAGCTAGTGTTTCTGTAGTGGTGACAAAACATTAAAAATTCTACATATTAGCAGTTTGAATTCCACTTAAATATCCCTGCACCAAACCCCCTTTTTAACAATTCCAACGTGTCGGTAACAACACAGAACTCTAGAAACACAAGCTACAGGGTGTTAATTGTCGTCAGTCTTCTTTTTAATTTGGCATCAATATAATCCATTAAGTGTATTCTGTACAAACATATTGTCTCCTCAGCTGGCTCAGCCTCCATTGTAGCTGCACTCTTTCAGTAGAAGAAGACCGTGGGAATGAGAGCAAACAATTTCAAAAGTTAAGGTTTCTCACAAAAAGATCTGCTGGTTAGTACACACCCAACTGACTCATTAACACTGTTAATTCACTGTCTATTAGGTGCGTGTCTGTATTTGATTTTTTTTAGGGTGGTACCATAGTTACTACCCGGTTTGCTGCTTCCTGTCTGGTGCCGGTTTAGAGGTTACCCAACCAACATAATATAGCCTGCTAGATATTTTTCAAGTGTCTGCGAGACATCTGCGAGCCCTCAGATTGTGTCTTTGAACAGTTCGACATAGTCCTCCTGGGAGCGAGTGCCGATTTCTGTCTGATCTGTGGGCATTTGTTGACGAAAAAATATCTACTACTAAGAATCAGGGCTAAAATCAAGCAGCCTAAACTCTGCATTAGCCGACCGCAAGCTGGGAGCACCAGGTGAGTGTTGGTGTTTACACTGCTAGCACAGGGGCTTTGGATCATGGGTGTTTGCTTTCAGACTGATTCAGATCCTGATACACAGGAGCATTGTTGACCAAGCTACGCAAGCAGTTCACCTGACAGATGAACTAATGATCACATTACTACAGAGCACATCTCTTTAAAACAGAGAGAAACACATATTTAACATGTGAGCTACATGGACTCACCTGTAATTCTTTCCTCCCCAGGCAGCAGAGACACATCAGCTAACAACTCCATCTTCAGAGACTCTCTGGAGGTCTACAAACCGCAAAGGCATAAAAACAAAATAATGGAATAAATGTCAGTCATTTATGTAAAGGAGTGGTGATAATGTGTAAAACAGTTTTATGCATTATTTCGTGCTTGTTATTTTCAGTGGAACTACTACAAGGAAAGAAACAAAGGGAGGTTTGTTTGCACCAGCTGAAGTGAGGTCAGAGTCAGTGGCCAGTGAGAAAAGACCCCACACAGAACTCTTCCTTTTTAAGAGCTGGAACTGTGACCAGGAGGATTTAAGAAGCTTAACGGCTATGTTTGACAGCTCTGCTCTTCATCCTTATTTGGAATTTTAGTTTATTAATTCCATTTTCTCACTTCAAAGCCATGCTATTAGTATTTTATGGGTGAGCCTATACTTCTTCTGTAAGCCTTTGGGCAAAGGACACATGTTTTTAGTTTTCCTGTGTTTTCATCACTGGTTTTTATTGTATGTGAGGAATGTGGGTTATGTTTTTCAATTCTACTATAAATAACTTGACCAGAAAAGCCCCTTGCAAACACCTGTGAGCTCAAATCACTTAGGATGATCAACAGTACATTATAGAACATTTATGTCTAAACCAAATCAGTTTTTTTTATGCTCACATTGAATCCAATCTATTCAATTCTGATTCGGGCCTCATATGTGGAAAAAATTATTATAAAGGGGAAAAAAAAAAAAAAAAAAAAAATTAAATTTTTTTTTTCATTAATGATTTGGGGCCACAATTCATGATATTTGGTTGATCATGTGATTCTTTTTTTTTTTGACAAAATGAGGTGGACAATAAAATTATGACTGAAACAGATTCCTTTATTTCAAAAATCTACAAAAATATTTTCTCTTAAAATTAAACTGCAGTAGGTAACTTAAATAAAAAAAATAAAACAAAAGTCATATTCACTTTCAACTTTCACTATATCCTGACAGTAGAACATGAGACTGATAATCTGTGAAAAAAATCAGGTTCCTCTGGCTCCTCCTAATGGTATTTGAATCCAATTGAATGGTATAAGAATCCACCGGGCCTGAACAAAAACAACCAATCAGAGCTCAGAAAGATAGTTGATGTTGAGTCTCGAAGCATCTGTATTTGACCCCTTCGGAATATGGAGGAGCCAGAGGAACTGATTTGACCCCTCACTGGCTTCTCACCCTGTAATCCCTGCAGTGGTGGGTGAGTGCTTTTACCAGCATGCAAGTTCAATATCCTCCTCAAACAACACTTGAATATTTCAACATTAAAGACATACGTAAGCACACTCACACTGGAGATGTGTGTGTCCAAGGCGTTGGAGTTGTAGACTGACACTGGTGAGGCCATCGGTCAGGGAGGGGGGCTTCCACAGGCTGAGAGAGAGAGAGAGAGAAACAGAAACTGTTTGCCAAATCTGCCAGCAGAAAGGTCCTGCTCTACAGCTATATTTTTCTGTCAGTCTAATGACAGAAATACACATTCATCAGCAGAAAATATGACAGATACTAGAACACTTTCATAACCAGCCCTCTCTTTACCAACAGTTGAGCTTTTGGAATGCACACTGTATGAATATTGCGTGCAATGTCCAGTTATGGGTTGTCATGGAGAAACAAAAAACATATTTTTGCTCAGAAATCCATAAATCATGTTCTCACTTTATTTACTGAAATTAACCATTTGTATACATAAATACTTAACAATTTTAACATTTGAACATGTTTAAAGAATGTCAGTGTGGAAGTAGTCTTTATCTCAGTCCAAAACCAAAACAAGTACATTTAGCTGTAGCTAATTTAAATTAGAGTTATAAACATTACCAAGTTGACTCAGGTTGAAACCCTTTGAGCACCAATGAGCCCACTGGTGCCATTAGTTTGTATCATCAATAATTAACTAACTAGTTTTCTTCTAATATTGCCTTCCCTTTTTTATTATTACAGATAAAAAAAGAAAATCACAACTATTCAATCAAACAACTCCTAAAAACACAGCAACATGCATTACTGTGAAATCAGGCATTTCAGGCAGCCTGCAAAAAACCTTGAGGAACTGTCTAAATGACTTCAAAAACTACCGCCAATATGCTAATATTTGCCATTCTGATACACTGACAGCAGATTTTTAAAAGATTTTGGTGGCTTTTTATTGCCTTTATTCGATCATGACAACTGAAGAGGGATAGGAAAGGGCAGCAGCAGAGAGACGGGATGACATGCAGCAAAGGGACTCTAACCCATGGCCGCTGTAGAAAGGACGTTGCTTTTGTACACGGGGCACCAGCTCTACCAGATGAGGTACCAGGACTTTTAATATTATTACAGACAAAAACAAGCAGGGTTGGGTTATATGATTGGGTTGTGTCAGTTACAGCCACAAAGCCTGGGAAAGCACAAACAGCACCAGTAGGGCTGTAACGGTTCTGAAACCGAGACCGAAATGGCGACACAAAAGTCCACGGTCTCGTGTCGCAGATCCGAGAGACAGAACCGCGACACACTCGCTCCCTGGACCGTTGAGCTCTCACTAAGACAGTGTAACTGCGGTGGTGGGGCGGCCCGTGGGGTGGTAGCGGTGTACGCCTATATCGTATTTGTATTGACAGTAGGTTATTCTAGGTCATTTTCCACCTTATTTTACTGTTTATTTACTACTTTAATCTGCTCCCTTTCTCTTCACCCCACACTCACACACAGCACACACACATGACTTTCTCCATCAACAGTAAGTTTCATAAACTCACCCGTGATTCAGTTTTCAAGTACGCCACATGTGGGTCCAAACCATAAGTGAGTGACATCTGCAGTGGTGTGTTCACTGACGGTCCGTAATGTAAGAGTTCTGCCGTATCCGCTTAATGTAATATCAGATAACACTGATGAACTGCTCACCCTGCCGTGATCGAGACAGCTCAAACACAGATGCATCAATACTCATATTAAGCATATGAAACTGCAAGCGATTCCTTCCTCATTATGAGAAAGCTTGTGGCCACGCTGCAGGGTTAGAGTTAAAACCCTTTGTGAACTAATTATAGTCTGATTAATCTGAGGTTTCCTAGAAAATGAGAATTACTACTGTAGTACAGTTTCCCATATCTTAGAACTGGGTATCAAACCTGAAGACTGTAGCCTAGGTTTTTGCTAAAAATTGAAATGTGTCTAGTAGAGACAGACAGGAACCACGCCAGGCCAAGAAAAAAAATTGAATGGCAACAACAATGCAATATCCAACTGCCGACTCTCAGACATTTTAACTAACTGGTGACTTTATTGGACTGTAGGTTGCCGGTTAACAGGGTCACATACCCTGGAGGCAGGTGGAAGGTGAATGTGAGCTGAGCAGAGGAAAAGATGAGCAGTGAAGTTGTCAATCTGGCAGTAAATCTACAGTTTAGATCAGTGAGTAAAGCTGCAGCTTCAACCAAAGTACATGGTAAATGGACCTGTACTTGTATAGCACCTTTCTAGTCTTCCGACCACTCAAAGCGCTTTCACACACATTCACTCAGTGATGGCAAAGTCCATCAAACAGAAACTAATGCATTCATACACATTCACACACCGATGCACACCATTGGGAGCAATTTGGGGTTCAGTATCTTGCTCAAGGGTACTTCGAACCAACAACCTTCCGATTAGTGGACGACCAGCTCTGCCTCTGAGCCACAGCTGCCCCAAGTGAAGAAAAGTAAATGGAAAGTAAATTGTCTAACAGAAGCATCAGGGACAAGAAAACACTGAATTTGTCAAAAAAAAAGAAGCCTATTAATAATGTATGATTGTTAAAAATGATTTTAAAAAATACATAATACAGACAGAGAATTGTATAAAAAGTTCCCTTAGAAAGTAGATTCATCCAAATCTCTCGTTTTACACAAACTTCTTGCAGTTGCTGAGTTCACTATTTGGGTTCATCGTACAATAAATATAATATGAAATATCTATAAAATATGTTACCGAGTCAGGGGTCGTCAGTTTAATAAATAATAAAAAAGAAGCCCCTTAAGGAAAAGATTTGGGAACCACTGGGCTATGAAGCAGATACCAAAAGTGAGCTGAGTCGAGCCGTACCATGCCTCTTTTGCTTCCAGAGTTGTTCTGATACCAACACTGCCATACAACAACAATAGCAATCATTTTATGTAATTTACATTACATTATTGAACTAAAGTTATATTTTAGTATTCGTCTGGAGCTCAACCCAGAGTAGTGGCGGTGTTACAGTGAACAGATGAGTGTATCTGGTTTCTGAGTGAACAGCAGCTGTGCAGTGGAGAGCACAGGTAGCCGCTATAATGACCAATGAGCAAGAACCACGGGCGGTGAGGGGCTCTGGAATGAAAACTGGAAACTCAGGAAAGTGATCAGTGGCTCAGGAAACAGCATCTTTTCAAATAAACTCACAAAAGTAACCACGGTAACTACATATCAAAGATAGTGACAGATGTAGCCTCTAAAATACATGATGGAAATCACACAAAAATGTCAGTTATGAAAATGACTAGGGCTGTGTATTGGCAAGAATCTGGAGATACGATATGCATCATGATACAGGGATTCCATATATTGTAATGTAGCTATAGGTGATGTATCGTGATGTTTCTTTTAGTCTAATTTTAGGAAAACCATCATAATATAAAGAAAATACCACAATGAATACAGTATCGTTTTTATGCAGCCAGAACAATGGGATCTGCATTTGTATTTATCAGTTCCTGTACATCCAACATCAAAAATAGACAGTATTTTTCAATATTTTCTTACACCCCTAACAATATTTTACCTTTATCAAACAAACAAACAAACAAACAAAGTGCAGCTTCTGGGATTTGGATATTGCAATTTTAATAATACGTGTGCATCCCTAATCAGAAACCAAAGTTAAAAATGTTCTGTACTGCAATTTCTTGTTGCTCATCAGCCACACATACATATACAGTATATCCATACTGCTATATATGTGGCAAACTAAAATCAGTCAGTAATATTGGCCATTGATGTGGCTCCAGTGTATAGAAGCTGGTGCAGTAAGCCAAGCACAGCAACACAGTCTGCACAGGCTCATACTGTCAGGGCGTTTGGTATAGGGATGTCACAAGAACCAATACCGTAGATACAGTTCTTCCAGACCTGACAGGGGCAGCATATACACCTAAAGTATTCTAGTCTGCCATTAATGCCACAGGAAGAAGAGCCACCGGCACATTGAAGATGTCTGTACAGCTGCAGTAACAGCTCCGCCTCCACTCATTAAAACTGTAAAACTGTTCACATATGAACCGTCAGACATGTTCTCACATGTTAGAAATACTCTGTCTGGCAGAGTGTGCAGGAGGAGGAGGAGGACTCATCCATAATGATGACTGTTTTTGTGTTGCTATTGATACAAACCAAGCCTCAAACTGACCACAAACCACCAAACTATAATAAAGTATAGAAACGGAGGGCAGTCCAGTCTGCTGCCCGGCAGGAGAGATGCTTCATGGTGCGCTGGGATTTTATATCTGGACTGTGAGCAGGACGCACACACTGTGTGGAAATCTGATGTTAAAGAAAGCGATTAAAATGTAAGGTAAAACAGAGACTCGTGTGGGCTGATACTGATTATGATCTGATATGGCTGCACAAATAATCAAAATATTATCAAAATATGGCCAAGTTCCATCCAAATGGCAGCTGCAATTGTTTGAGAAAGGTAAAAGGTGCCACAAACAGCATTATATTGAAGTACTGACCTGCAAGTCTTGTTATCTAGATGTAAGAAATTGTGATGCAAAAATTACGCATTGCAATCGCAATATCACTCAATATAATTGCGATTGGTTTTTACTATATTGTGCAGGCCTAATTGATTGGCAGTCCATATGAAAACAAAACCATCAACTAAAGAATGGAAAGCAAACAGGCAGCAGAAAACATAATGTTGAGTAGTCATTTCCTTTTATTTATTACTTGTAGGCTACATGCCACTGTTGTTGTTTGTAATGCTCAAATTTTCTGAAGTGTGTACACAGGGCATCTTTCCAAAAAAAGATGTTAAGTTAAACAATATGTGTGCCTTTCTGTGATTACAAAAAAATCGTAAAGTAAAGTGATTCCAGTATGTTTTTAATGATTAGTACGATAATATTGTGAATTACAATCATTTTGGCCAAGATAATTGTGACATGACATTTTCCTATCATATCATCCCATGTTTAGTGATATTTTGTTTTTGGGATATTGTATGGGTTATCAAAACCACTATTTCTTTTTGTATTTAAACCCCCGACTACTTATGGAATAATTCAAAATATTGAGAAAGTCTCATTATTTTGAGAAACTAAGTCAAAATATTGACACCCTAAGTAAAAAGAAATTGACGTTTCTCATTATAAAGGCTTACAGAATCTTTTTTTCCACAGTGGCATAAATGGGCTTCCATAACTACGAGAAAGCAATGTTGTTAACATAAACTGAGGGCTGTAATGTTGGATGTTACAGTGACTGTGATACAAATGCAGATCCCACTATGGTTGCATAAAAAAGGTTAACTTTTTGTTAAACTAGGATTTTATGCATACATGTTGTGTTCTTTATACTAGGACAGTTTTCCTAAAAAAGCCCAATATATCACCTTGCTTACAGCACTGCAATATTTCACAATATATTGAATGATAACCGCTGTATCGTGATGTGTATCGTACCGCCAGATTCTTACCAACACACAGTCCTATTTGAAGTGGAGGAAGCTCAGAGGTACAGTGTAATTCAGGGCGCTGCGGTGACAGCTAGCGTTAGAACAGTTTGCGGTGTGGATACCCAGCTCCAAGGTATGAATAACCTTACACAGTCCAAGCCTGGCTCTCAGTCTCGTTCATTATTGAGAACTGGGAAACGTTCACGACAAAATATGAGCATAAAGAGCAGTAATAAGCAAAATGGCCAAGAACAAAGCTCCTCCAAAACCCCGTAAACTGAACTTTTCCAACTTGCCCATTCCAATAAGCACAGCTGTGGAGTTGTACCAGGAAATAGCGGAGGCCTAGACGGTACGACAGCTTTTCCACCCGAAATTAAAGCAATTTCTTATCCACAGAGAGCAGAAAGCTCCGGCAAACCCCTCCGAAGAACACCCGATACAGGCTCAGGTGGCCTCGTTGCGGCCAAATGTCTTAACTTACCCGCAAAGTGCGTTTCTCCCGTGGCTGAATGTCGATCTGTTTCCCTCAAGCCACAGCAGGAACTTACTCTCCGTCACGTGCCGGGTTGTCATGGCGCAGATTGGCTGGTTGTCAAATCGGAGCTTGCAAAGCATGCAGGGAAATGTAGTTTTCTAATGGGTTGCCATATTCCTTTTTTATGTGTTGTACAGTTCTTGTTTGAAGTGACCTTTTCTTGTCTGTTTCTTCACATGAATAGGGCCACGTTTTGCAGGAGAGAGCATTGTTTAGAGGACATTATATAAATAAAGCCAGGTTTGTATTATAATGATCTCTTCTTTGTTTTGTGGAATAAAATGTAGTCCAACCAGAGCAGGGGCGGATCTACAGGAGTATTCATCCTACCTGCCACCCCAGTTTGGTGTCAAATTCTGTCAACTTTAACACATTCATTTAGATTAATTTAAAGAAATAATGTGTTAAAAAACTTACAATTTTATTTATTTATAAAAATTAACACATATCATTTTGGTGATCTTTTATGGCTACATGTTAGACTCAGTAACAGGCATAAGTTCAATGAAAAAAAGACATATATTTGGGGAAATAAATTAAGATTTGTATGTATGGGTTTCTAATGCCACCTTTAGATATTTCTATTCAATGCTTTACTAATGTGCTATAATAATGTAATGGTTTTTTTTATTCAGATATCTTAATTTGGGGACTTTTTCAAGCAAATATTGATATACACAGAGGCTATCATCAGTGGTGGAAGTATTCTAAAGTACTTCAGTAAAAGTAGTAGGGATACACAATAACTTTTTTTTAAACCGATACCGATAACCGATAA